TTATGGTTTGTACGATACCAGATTTGACACATGCAGGTTGTGTAGTTAGTAGATACATGTTAAATCCTGAGAATGAACATTGGAAAGCAGTGTAATGGATGTGTAGATATTTGAGGAACTCTACTAATACTTGCTAATTTTGTTAGAAATACATATGAAGTTATTGGATATGTGGATTCAGATTATGCAAGGGATTTTGATAAGAGAAAATCACTTATAGGGTATGTGCTTACTTTTGGAGATTGTGCTATTAGTTGAAAAACTACTTTGCAGAATACAGTAATTTTCTCTACAATAGAGGCAGAGTACATGGCCATTATAGAGGCTTATAAGGAGACTATGTGGTTGAGGGAATTGATTGATGAAATCAGTGAAGACTTGAAATGTCTACAGTGTACTGTGATATTCAAAGTTCTATTTTTTGGACTAAGATCAGATATTTTATGAGAGGACCAAGCAAATTGATTGAGGTATCATTTTGGGAGAGAAGTGATTGTTCGTGATATTGTAGCGAGCAAGGTTGATACCAAGGATAATCTTGTTGATATGTTAACAAAACCACTTTCTGTTGCCAAGTTTGAGCATTGCTTGAACTGAGTTGGTAATTGTCATTGATTTAGCTCATTGGGATTTGTTTTGAAGAGGTGGAGTGGTGTTTACTTTTGAGATGTGTTTTGAAATTCGTTGTATCGGAATTTGGTTCAAGGTGAAGATTTGTCGGCCAAGGCTCGTTTTCTGGACTCCTACTAATCTACAACTTGAATTTTATATATATTCTCCACGACTTGTATTGAATCATAACATTTTGAGAGATTTAGATTTTAATTGGGAGTATTGGAATTTTGTTATAAATACAATTACTATTGGTTATAGTGAAATTCTTCTTCTCTGCCTATGGTTTTTCCCCATCTTGGATTTCCTCATTAATTTTGGTGTTCTCGTTTATATCATTATTATCATTATCTTACGATCAATTCAGAACAGTTTGAGTAACTTTACTAAGTTTATATGCTCTTTAAAGTTTAGTCTCGATTCTTTAATTTATCATGGAATCTTAAGTATGATGCATTGTGAATTCTACCTTATGTTATACATTCCACATTTTTGGCAATTTCGCTTATGTATTTCTTGATAGATTGTCTAATAGGAGTTAACCTCTTGCTTGATACTCATTTTTAGAAATGTATTATTACGTTAATAGGATAAAACTAATTTTTTTATGTTATAATAGGGTACTCCCATTTTGGTGTTGGATAATTATTAGTCTACTTAATGATGTTGTCATATATATATATATATTTGTGTTCGTGTGAAACTCATAAGCGTACGAGATTATTGACAAGTAATAGAATTGATGAGTTCAGAGTATTGTCTCACATGAAATAAATTTCAATTTAGGTTTACCAGTTTCGTATGAAATTCAAATTATATAAAACAAAAGAAATATTTTAATTTGATTTTTGTTAAATTAATTTAAGAAATCTATAAAAGTTTGGTTTTTATCAAATTTTGGATGATTGCATTAGATTTCGAATGCACCTATGGTATCTATTTCAATTATTGATTTGTAATTTAATTCCGTTCATGTGTTCTTGACAATCGATAAAGTTAATGTATTTAACTTTCTTTTTCAAGATAAATTAATTCCATCATAACCATGACTTAAATTTACTCCTAGCCCGAATTCGAATCGTTACAATTCATTAAATTTTAGATGATCTATATGATTGCACATGTGATAAATGTTATTTCTAACTTCTATTGTACATATGTTAATTTTACCGCATTCTAAACTTGTGAGTTTCTCAACACTACAACAACCAACTAATTATCTAATTGGTGGCCGATCAATTAAATAATGCAAGGGGTATGCAAAATTAATCAAGAAACGCAAAAAATATTAAACTACTAGTCTTGAATTAGAATTAAATAACAAATAGGGTTCATCTTCATCTAATATAAAAGTAGATCTAATCTAGCATATTAATATATAAATTATAAGAAGAAAAATAGAAAAATATCACATGGATTATGAAAGAATACAAAAGATGTTGATCTTCAAGTCCAAAGTTTAATTCTTCAATTTCTTGACATAATTGAGTTTCAATTTCTTACTATGGCTTGATCTCTTTTCTCAAAAGTGATGAATTAACATCTTATTCTTGATGAGTTTTTTGATGCTATTGTGTACGAAGACATAAGAGAGATTTTTTCATGTGTGGCCCTCATTTTGTATTTATAAGAGTCGAAAATAGGTCAAAATAGTGTATTATTTGGTTTTCAAAAGAGTGAATCACGAAAGGAAATTGCAGTTTCTTCTGTGAAAGCGGGCGCGCGCACACAGGCAAAACTGCTGTGCGCATACCATTGATCCAAATGGCTCTCGGGTCAAAATCTTGGTGCCCTATACGTGCACCGTTTTGCTCGCTATCTTGCTTGAGCGCTTTCGGTATTTTGGTCATAACTTTCTCTCCTAATATTCAATTGAGATAATTCAAAATGATTTGGAAAGCAAACTCAAATGGTTACAATTCTTCTAACTACACAATTTTTCAAATTCAAACGTTTGCTATCCAAAAAATGTGTCTCAAATTGAAGCTTGCTGAAACTGATTTATGAAAATACTTCAAATCTATTTCCCTCATTTGACCTCCAAATTGCATCCAATTGATCATATATGATCTTCAACAATCATTTTATAGTTCGACACAACTATTTAATATTTACACTTTGGTCCCCATATTTTGGATTTCTTTTGTCTGTGCTATTTCTTTTGTTCCTTAATTTCTTCTAATTCCATCAATTTCCATTGAGTTCAACCTAACAAACATAATTAACACATGATTAAGCTATAACTCATTTAAATCAATAACAAATACTCCAATTCACTGGCCTATTCAATTTGCACTTGAAAATGACCAAATCCTGGCATATGCTAATACGAAATTAGGTGCTAGGAAAAATCTGTCACACGCTCACACATTTATGCATTCTTTGTTTAAGCATGATATCCGATGTGGTTATTTCTCATATTTTGCTTTCGTTGTATTAGTCGAAGATAACTTTGACTAATTATTTATGTGAAGCAAAAGCAAAAGTGGGATGCAAATACTTGACTCCCCTATAATAGTCTTCATCTCGTACCCAAGTAGAAAATGGAAAATTGGATTATGATGTTAGTCTATCAGCTTTCAACTATATCTCTTGCTCTAATGACTTCTGATATTCTCTATTGGAGAATGTATGGCTAAGTTTAGAAGGGTTAGTAAATAAGCAAGTTCTAAAATAATTGACTTTTGTTACTGGTGAAATTTGGAAATAAAGAATTAACTTTTTTTTGACATTAAGGTGGAGTTACTTTCCAAATAAGCAACTCTTTGTGCGATTTCCATGGAGCCAGACTAGATATTAGAGATGCAGAATAATAATGTGCAGCCTAATGAAAGAACGTTGATCATTATAATATCCGGATACTGCAAAGAAGGTAAAATAAGGGATGCCTTGAGATTTGTTTACAAGATGAAGGATCTTTGGGTGCATCCGAATCTTGTCATGTTTATTTCATTGATCAAAAGGTTCTTAGACATTTCAGATAGAGATGGCGTTGACAAGGTTTGTATTCTTGTGAATGCGGAATTTCTCCAAATTTGAAGACCTTTGAAACCCTAATTTGGGGTAATGCAGAAGCTTAGAAGCCATGGAAATCTGAAGAAATCATTCTAATCATGGAACGATTCAATGTTCGACCTGAGAAAAGCACTTTTCTGCTAGTTGCTGAAGCATGGCGCACTATTGGATTAACTAAAGAAGCTAATAGAATAATGATCACTTTGAGAAGCAACACAAGGTCCATCCACAAGAAATGCAGCAGGAGATGCCAGTCGAAAGCTTAGAGAAAATTTATCAGAAAGAAGCAGAGAATGCTTCTTATTCAAGATTACAGATTCCTAACATGATTGTGAGTGATCAAAAGGGGTCGGCTCCTCCTATGAAAGAAGTCGAATTGTGTTACGAGAAGCTGAGTTCTCATCTGAGAGCTGTTGTGCTGCTACTAAAACGATGAATTTCACTTGTAGGCTTCGGGAACGCGCGAGTTCCAAATGTTTGCCAGAGGCAATTTCAGGGGCAGCTCTACATGTCTCCTCAGATTGCACCCTTATGTACAGTACTTTTCTTGAACTTAGTGGCATGCAGAAACATCAAGAAAAATAGCTTTATTTCACTTTAGAAGTTGGTATGAAGACAATGTTGGAACTAAAACGACTGACCGTTGTACGTAGAAAGAAAATTGGGATTCCATCTCTCAGTCTCTCGTCTTTTTTTATATGACATGTTTGATAAGATGAACACAACAGTATTGAAGAAAAAATATGTTAAAAAAGTTATAATTTTGTCCACTATTGTTTATTCCCTCCTAACTGCGTACTAAACAAGTCTTACCTTTTGTTTATATGCTTGCTGTGCAGCTACAGAATGCCCACTGTATAATCCATGAAAACTTCATTTCATTAACAAGACAACCCCCATCCACCCCACAAAGGTAATCTAATAAAAATGTTCAAATAGATGACTTCCACCGCTTCAAGGTGATATTTTATTATTGAGTTATATACATTTTGTGCCCCCAATCGAGAAATAGAACTACTAATACTAAGTCAAAAAGATTGAGAGACTCAAAACTAGTATTCAGCAACAACTTGGGAGCCATGCTTTCTTTTTGCACCATTAAGAAAATGAAAATAATGGTTAAAAGAATTCAACTAACTATGGATTCCTAAGAAATCGGAATTGCATATTTTTTCATTTCCATTTAAGAGTCCATATGCATTTTCATACCTTTTGAGACCTGAAAAATGGACATTCATTATCTCCAGAATACATAAGATTCGTCACTACCATAAGGATAATAGTAGCTCTTTAGCTTCCTCTAGATGTTTTAGCAACCTTTTAAGAATTTAATACCGAAAATGTACAAAAACTTTATAATACAATACCAGACATATCTCGTGACAAATTATATTCACTTCATAAATTTTTTGTACCGAAGTTAGTATCAACATACAATATCATCTGTCACAGATACAGCATCTCAAAAAACCATCTCAATAAAAAATCCTGTATCAAATACAAAATTAGAAAGTATAGCAGGGTGAATCTTATTTTTCGTCCACAGGTGGAGAAGGAAATCTGCTTAGTAGCCATATCAAAACTACACCGACAAGGGCACCTGAGAGATGTGCTATATGATTCACGTTCTGTACACCATAGACTCCTCTGTAACCGCCTGCTAAGCTTGTTGAAGCTTGGGCAGCTTCCATTACCTGACATTCCAAGCAAGCATCAAATTAGCAGAAGCCCGAGAAAAGTTCTAGCAAAATACCCAGTTAGAAGCCTCTCAGCTAGCAAGTTCATTCATGTTGTTAAACAATTAACAAGCATCACCAACTTGTATCAAAAATATTACGCGTTTCTAAATTATGATCAGGAATAAATGCAGCCAGAGGAAAATCTACCCTCTGTGTGTAAAGCCTTTCAAAGACATAGTTCAACTAATAATTCAAGATTAACGAACTAAGTCTAGATTTACCTATCTTACTCGTGCCTGTAGATGTCAGAAGGATCTATAGCATAGAATGATTTTTACACAATTCTCTAATGAACTTTTCTTGGATCACTTGTATGAATTTCAGATTAAAGATACATTCTTAACCCACTTATGTATGGTAATCCTGATCTTAATACAAGAAATGAAAATCTTGAGAATATTCTGGTTTACATAGAAGTTATTAGAAGTCATCAATAGAAGTTATTAGAAGTCACCAAAGAGATGAATCATTGATCAAGTCCCATTTAACCGTAAATATGGAATATAGTACCTTCTCTACCACAAATTGTCCCAATATAAGTACTTCAAGAATCTTTCTCCAATCCCACGACATCTGCATAGAAAGTAGACTAGTTAATGCTGATATAGGAACTGCCACTTGCTAAAGTTAACAAATCATAGAATCTTACTATACCTTCACAAGGACGCTAATCGCAAAGAGTCCAAATACAGCACCGGATGCTCCAATAGAAACTGCATTTCTTGGGAGAATTAGCCATGAAACGAGGTTAGCCCCAGCACCTGTCAAGATATAGGAAAGCCATAGTGCAAAGTTTCCTTCTTCCTCTTCAACAAGTTTTCCTGGACGACAAAACAACATTATATTTACATCCCTACTTGAATAGCATCCACGTATGAGAATTTATTGAAGAAAAAGGTCTCACCAAAAATATACAAGAAAAAGAGATTGCTTGATAGATGACTCCTGCAAGAGATGTGGAGGAAAAACTATATAAAATGAGATCATAGAGAGGATAAATATATGCATCATTCATTTTTAGTCAGTATTCCTACTTCAACTCTTCAGAAGCAAAAACAGCTCGGTATCTCACCAATTAAAATGACAGAATGTTGAGGTTATGAACTGGTGCCAAGCAGGTTGGCTATGGTACAAGTACAAGTCTTTTATCCACCGAACCTGGAAAAGAACAATTCTTTTTGTATTAGTTTTACTAGTCAGGTAAATACTACAATGGAGTCTCCAAATGGCAAAATCTTTATCAGGTGTTACAGAAGTCACTGAATTATCTTTTAGGATCTGTAATATCTTAATTTACCGGGGGTGAAACCTCCAAAGATTGCTACTTCCGCAAATAAAAACACGAGAAAAAAAATTTGTACAACATCAAAGAGAATAAATAAAATGGAGAAAGAATTAGCGAAGACAGAAATTATTTAGAACCTGAAACACATGATCTGCTACATATATTCCAAGATTAATAAGTAGAATCCAGAATATGCCATTGACACGCTTCTCTGGCTTCTGTTTCTCTTTGTGCTTCCCGAGCTCGAGCTCTGATACAATGTCTGAGTAAAGGGATCATCAAATGGCATAAATATTTTGAACATAATTCTTCCGAGTAAGAATTCATGATCGAAGGAGAGAGAAATAACTTCCAGCATTTAATTAAACAAGCACACGCTGGCAAAGAATTTAATATTAAACAATTAATTGATCCTTGGAAGTTCAGAATTACTCAAGTTTTAAGCTAAAACAGGAATTCAGTATTTCCAACTCCAAATATACAAATTCGAAAACAAAATGGTAATGTCAGCTGAGGAATCTGAATTGCACACCAAATGTTTGTGGAAATTCCCATAAAAGAATAAGAAAAGTACAAGAAAGTTTTCTTAACAAAATTTCCATCTGTAAGTACACACAATTAAACACAGAGAGAAAGAAAGACAAGTTTACCTGAATTTCTGTTCATTTTGCATATTAAACGACGCTGACTCTCGGTGTGAGCAAGAAACGCAGAGTTGGGTTCTATGAACAATTTAGAAGACATGAGAAATTCAATTTTACAAGAAAGGGAATTGAAGTGAGGGCGCGAGAGTGGCAGCCGCGCCGTCATTGGCATGAGCTTGGAGTTAAAGGGGACATGGAGATTGAGATTGAGCACAGAAAATCGCTGCTGCTGCCCCAAAACTCCAAGATTATTCATAGTATTTTTCTTGGAAGAAGGTTAGAAAAACAAGAATAAACAGAAGGAAAAGATAAAAGGGAGGTTCGATTTCTTTGATTTCTTACAATTAACTAATAAAGGATGGAGACAACTCACCGATCGCAAGTAGTGCTCGTGCTCTCCGGTTCTTTCGATAATGGTCACTTGAGAATGGAACTAAAAGCAGTTTTTTGAGAAAATAGTGATATTTTGAACAATGAATAAATAAATAAATAATTGTATTTATGTATAAAATATATATATATTTTTTTTTAATGTGTGGTTGAAAACAAATTTGATAACAAAAATAATGATGATTTAATAGAAGACAAACATGGATTATATCCATTCTCAATAAAAATTAATACAACGGTCGGGGTTGGCTAAAATTCCGGTCCTCCCCATTGCCAGTTGTTTCATTTCAAATGGAGGGGAATTCTCTAGTTAATAGGGAATCGAGATCTCCAGTCCCCTTCAAATAGTTTCGAGAGGCATGGTGACCACGAAAACAAGGTACTTACCCTATCTTTAATTCATGTTTATAAATTAGTATTGCCTTTGTTTGGTTTAAATAAAAATCAAATTTTTAATAAATTTTAATAAAAGTTAATGAAATGTAGAGTCGGTTAATAAAAGTTGTGAGTTCCATGAATGTGAGATTAAAAATGATTTTGAGAAAAAAAATATTATCTCTGCCCATATAAATAGGCTAAATTTCCTTTTTTGTTTATCCCAAATTATAAGCTATTTTTCTTGTTGAGAGTATAATTAATGTCTTCATTTTTTATTGAATATATTCCCCATTTAATTTGCATGGTTATCTACAAGTATGACCTTTCATTATTCAATATATGGGTATGTTAGGAAAAATGTGAGTAAACTTTATAATTTCAACATATATTAATTAAAATTTTCTTAATCGGTATGAAAATAGAAACAAGTCTATCATTATGAGACGATTTTTTTTTTTTTATTTTGGAAGATGGGGACCAAGTTAAGGCAATAAATACTAAAGTCACTATTTGCACACACATTTCGAGAAATCCACAAATATCTCCCACTTATCATCATTGGTTTTATCTTATAATTTGAATAGTTTTATAAGCACTTTCGAAACATGTTCTTAGTGCGTCTTTTGAGAAACAATATATTTTATTTTTCTTTCACAATCCTCATAAGAGTATCTCCAATGTATGCACCATTTCACCAAAATGCACCAAATTTTGGTGTAAATTTCCTACAATTTGGCACCAAACTTTGCACCATTTTGGTGCAAAGTGTATAATGTCATTTTTACCTTTACTTTTCCTTTCCCAAATAAATTAATTAAGGGTATTTGTGTCATTTGTGTTATATATTTTTTAATACTATAAAATTATTATTATTATTATTATTATTATTATTATTATTGTTATTATTATTATTATTATTATTTGCATTTAAAATAAATTTTAAATGTAAAAAAATAATAATTAATGAATTCATTAAAAGAAGAAAAAATTTAAAATATAATAAACACGATTATTTCTTAAAGTTAGCACGAAATATATTAACAACAACATACATACATACGATAATCTAATTTTATTTAAAGAAAATTATACACAAAAAGTGCATAGTTTAGTAATTTGGAAGATCGCTTCCAGATCCTCCAATATCATCAAAATAATTTCCAAACAAGCTAGATAAACTTTCAGATTCTTTATCTTGTTGTTGAGCTCTCTTCTGTAAAATTCTTACTTGTTTGTTTTGCAAGAACGAACTTAAGTTTGGATCTGTTTCGAAATGCATTGCACTATTTTTTAATGGCATGATTTAATATTTCTATTGTTGTAGTGTTTTTATTAATTGTACTATATTTTTATATTTATTAATGAATTAAATCTTTTTCATAATTTAACGTAATTATTAATTTAGTAATTTATGTATTTATAAAATAATTAAATAAATAATATTTCAAATAATAAATTACTAAGAATAAAAAAAGGAAGAAAACAGTTAAACTTTGTTCATTTGGTGTAATAGTTGGATATAAATTTTGATTTGATGCAAAATTGTGCAAATTTTGGTACAACGTTAGAGATGACTTATTAATGCACTATTATCCTCATTTCAAATAGGCATGAATCAAAATCCGTAGGATAACTTCAATCTTATAAGTTATGTGATATTTTTATAGGACGTTCGCGATTTCTCTTTATTAGTAATCCAACACAAAAATCATTTGGTTATGTTAAACTAGATATATGTTGTATATTATCAATGATTTCTACATTAGGTGGTAAAATGATACTTTGAGCAATATCCTAGACATCTAACACAAATAGACACGTCACAAGTTCCATATAGATTACTTTTCAATACAATTTCTTTTAAATTCATTACATTTTGTGAACCGATTCTTGAATGCCAGCTATGGTAGAATATTCATTTGGGACGTTCTAAAATTTTAATGTGTAATACATGTTCATTCTATTTCTCCATGTAAAAGCTTTTTGCATCGAATGCTTATTGTGTCGACTTGACCTTTTATTAGTGGAGGCAAAGTAAAGCGTCCATAATAAAGACTTCTATTGTCTTCTCTTGATTCAATACACTTCCATTGTACTGTCTGAGTAGATATTGTTACCTTCTCTAGAACCATAGTAATGTTATTTTATTTGATTGAATCATTTATTAATCTCAAATTATGTGATAGTTCATGGGTTAGGGTAAGAGTTGCAGGTTCTTATAATCTAATTCTGTATATATTATAATATAAGTATTTTTTTTTAAGACCTTGTTTGGTTTAGATAAAAATTAATTTTTTAATAAATCTGAATAAAAAATGATGGGATATATGGTTAAAAATGTAGATTTCATTAAATATGTGGTCAAAATTAATTATTAACTTTTATTTAAATTAAAATCAATTTTTTAGTTAAACAAATAATATATGCAGTTTCTTGGGTAAATTGCACTTAGTCCGTTTAATTGCAAGAATGCAATTTTTGTGGAAAGAAAATAAATTTTAGGGAATTGAATTGCCTAAAATTTGTTTAATTGAAAATTATCAATTAAACGTTTTTTATTGATATAATTTTTCACTTGAAAACTGTTGAAATTTTGGATCTTTTGGTATTCATATGGCTTTGTTTTTCATGAAAATTGTCAATTATGATAGAATTTGTTACAATTGTGGATAAAATTTGTTTCCATTGCCAATAAAAAAATTAAACAAAAAGAGAACCTAGAAAAGTAATTTCCCACCAAAACCATGGGAATTGGAATTTCACAAAATCAAGGGAAATAATTCACGTGGGGGATGGGGGTGAAAATTAATTGTTGGGAAAATTTTCGCAATCAAACAATCAAAAATGTGGAAAAATGGAAAATTTCATGGAAAATTCCTCCTATCAAATAGGCCCTTAGAGTTTTGAATCTTTCAAAAGTTGCTATGATGGGATCTCGAGTCTTTGATTCATATCCCATTGAGTTTTTAATCTTTCAAATGTCTACTCCAGGATCCTTTTGGGATAGAAATCGTCAATTTTACTATTAGAAAAAATTAATTTTTGAGTAAAATAATTAGTTTACTTTAGTTTAATTTAAAACAAATGAATAAAAAGGTCAATTGCACATAGGGGGCTTAAATATCTGATTTCTAGCACAGAGAGTTCCAAAACCTTACGAACGCATAGATATTGGGTATTTTTGTGATGAAATCATTGGTTTGACCATTGAAATAATAAGCTTTGACTAAAGTGATTATTGTACCCTTAATTTGATTTAAAAGAAATCAACTTAAAAGCAAAAAGAAAAAGAAAAAGAAAAAGAAAATCGAAAAAGTAATTAAAAAAATAACCGAAAAGATTAAAATGACAAGAAAAAATGGATTTTGCATAGATGCTGCTACCATGAATATTGACCAAAAAGTTGTCCATTTTACAAAATGTATTAAAAAATGTCATTTTTCATGCAACATTCCAATTTAAATGCACAATTAATGCTATGATATGATGGTTGTCTAGTTGAAGACGCTACCCATGCATATTGATGGTTTCTTGAGACAAAGAGGAAGAGAGAGAGAGATATTTTGATGTGAAAACTATTAGTACATATACACCATAACCGGCTGCAATGCTTATATATTTTACAAAAGACTTCTACCATCTTTCTAGTCAACCACTCCTACCTGCTACACATTACTTGCTGACAAATTAAAGACTTTACTATGATTGACATATAGATCACCAAAAATACATTCCTTGGACTTGACTTGTAATATAAAGAGTGCCACAAAATGTGACAACAAAAGTGACACTCAACTATCAACACTCCTCGTTGATACTTTTGTTGGAAACACTAAGACATTTCCTTAATGTTTCAAACCTTTCTTTGGATAAGGATTTTGTTAGGATGTCAGCATATTGGACCTCAGAATTGCAATGCACCAGCTTTACTTGAAGATTCTCCTCTGCTTCCCTAATTGCATGATACCTTATCTTAATATGTTTTGTTCTTCCATGGAACACCGGGTTCTTAACCATAGCCACAACAAATTGGTTGTCACAATAAATCATAGTTGCATCGAGTTGCTTATGGTTTAGATCCTCCAGAACTTTCCTTAGCCAGATTACCTGGTTAGTACCCTTTGATGCAGCCACATACTTTGCTTCTGCTGCTGATTGAGCCACGATTTTCTACTTCATTGAGTTCCAGCAAACAGGACTTGTTGCCAGATAAAATACATATCCAGATGTGCTCTTCATATCATCACATGATCCGGCCCAATCACTGTCAGTATAGCCAGTTAGAAACCAGTTTTCTGACCTCATTAACTAGATTCCAAACTCTACATTTTCTCTGATATACCTTAGAACTCTCTTTGCAGCTTGAAAATGTAAAGCATGTTTGTAGCAAATGTGAGATCTGGTCTTGTGATGGTTAGATACAAAAGACATCCCACCAAGCTTCTATACACATTTTCATCAAACTTCTTACTACCATCATCTTTCATTAGTTTCAAGTTTTGAATCAAATGTGTATTTACAAGTTTGCCATTTTCCATGCTGAACTTCTTCTAAATTTCCTTAGCATACCTCTCTTGATTTAGAAAAATTCCATCATGT